TATTTTAAGTTAAATTAAACTTTAAATCTACAAAAAGAATCCCCACCTCTTTATTACTGTGTGTGAGGGGGACGTGTGTGAGTATCCGTGTCTTGCGTACGAAGCACTACTGTGTTCTCATCTCAGCTCAGTAAATACGCAACTTCTTCAGCGTACGTATGTGACGCCTTAGCGCTCCCAACCAAAATGTGATCTAAGTTCTATATTTTTAAAATGGCTGTGAAGCCGGGCATTTTTATACTTAAGGTAGGAAACAAACATTAAGATTTTTCAAATATAATTTTTCTTTAATTTAACATCTTTTATTTTAACATGGCAGTAAGCGACCGTCTCATACCGGAACTTGTTTTTATTAACGGTTGATTAGACAACAGTATAAACGACAAATATCGCGTGACAGCTAGCAAAAGTACTCAAATTTGTTAACAAGTCAGGTTGGAACTTTTTTTCCCGAGCTCTTTTATAAAAAGTATTGAAAATATATATTTTTGTTATTCTCTTATTATATATACAAGAATTTTTACTCCCAAATGGTTTATTTTCAATTTTCTCTAGCACCTTATACTAAAACTGTTTTATGTCTCTCGCCCAAATTATATTGTTGTCTTGAATTTATTTGCGCATATAATACTGTACATTCGACTAAACTGTGCAAATAATACTGTACATTCGACTAAACTGTGCAAATAATACTGTACATTCGACTAAACTGTGCAAATAATACTGTACATTCGACTAAACTGTGCAAATAATACTGTACATTCGACTAAACTGTGCAAATAATACTGTACATTCGACTAAACTGTGCAAATAATACTGTACATTCGACTAAACTGTGCAAATAATACTGTACATTCGACTAAAATGTGCAAATAAATCAAGCATTTTTTTCTATTTTAAAAAGATGTTAAGATGTTTATTCACCCCTATATAGACAATTCCTCATGTGAATTCATTCAAGCTTAATTATACGATTACTGAAATCATCAATTTCTCTTTAAAAAAGTTGGTTGTGGATAATGTTATTGTGTGATTTTGTTCTCAAAAACTTGTCCCAAAAGAGAGTTAAGCAACTTGACATCCCACTGTTGGGGATCACGGCTATGTTCATGGGTCGGTATAATGTTTAAATGGACCACGTCTTTTGACCAACAATGCCAACCCATGTTCCCTACAACAGCGGAATATTAAGCTGTTACTCTGGTTTAAGACAATCAAGCATTATAACATCCTGCTCGGCGAAGATTTTGGAAAAATTCGCGCATTTTTAACTCAAAGAAAGATATAATTGTGTAATTCTACTTTTCGGGAGGTTAACATTTTTACTTAAACAAGTGTTCTCTCTAACAAGGTTATAATGCAAGGAAAGTTAATTGTAGTTGCGTATACTCTACGTACATATTGAAACCAGTTCTCTCTGGGCGGAATTTGTAAACAAGAATAGATACATTAGTGTTCGTTTAGTATCCGAGGAGGTTAAAAGCATTAAAATTTTGATAATTTTGATAATTCACATAATAGTTTCCTATGACCAAAATATTTCATTGATTTCTTTTATGTGAAAGAATATAAGCCCCTGTATTGGTATATGTATTCAATGAAGGGGGGGAATATAAGCCCCTGCATTGGTATATGTATTCAATGAGAGAGGGGAATATAAGCCCCTGTATTGATATATGTATTCAATGAGAGGGGTAATATACGCCCCTGTATTGGTTTACGTATAAGTTGATAAACTATTAACGATATATACTTAGAATTGTTTGACCTTGAGTTTATAAGTATACAGTGCCTATTAAATACAAGCAGAATCTTATCAAATTCAGACTAAACCTAATTATTATTATTCCCATGCATCACGGGAATTTTTGTTGCGAATAAAACCACGTTTTTAATAAGTTTTGTCAAAGTTTTGATACTCCGATTTTAAAACTTAGTTAAACCTAAGATTTGACCTTTAAAACTGGGGAAGGAAAAGGGAAATTTTGCCAGTTATTTCTTAAATTCTAAAGCTTAAAGGGACTGTAAAGGAAAAATGAAAAGGGGGTATAGAACGAAGCCTGAGAATCTCAGGCGTTGAACGATACATATAAGACATCTATCTGGAGTTCCTGTCTCGTGAAATGGATGAAAAACTGTGTAAAATTTATACAAAAATTCATATATATGCAATTTTGTATAAAAGTTGTAGTATTTAAACGATAATATTCAACAAATACGCAATAAATCTGAGAACCACAATACCCCACAGGAACCTGAGAATCTCAGGTTTGCTCTTATTGTATTTTTTTATGAACATGAAAAAAGAACAGAACAAAAATCCATTTTGCTTTAAAGTTTATTTTCTAATTACTTGTAAAACTATTTGCTTTTTATCAACATCCAAAACACATGAGGTTGCTCAATGTCGCCTTCCTTTTCCACAGTGGTGTAAGATATATTCAGTGTTAGTTTTCAACCCATATATATATTTGCAAAACACAAAAATCAAATTGTTTACTTACTTTAAACTGCAAATTCGCAATGTCAAATTTGTACAATATTATTACAAAAATAAACAAAACCATCATAAATTCTCAAATTGTTTGAACAAAATATTAAAAAGTTGTGCTTTTATTGTTTTATAACACTCTGAAAAGAGTGGAGGTAGGGGGTTAGGGTTTGTGTGCACATTTTATTCTGAATTATTAGATTTAATTCTGTCGGTTTTATCCAAAAAAACTAGTTACTGAGCACTTCTTTACAATAGTGGTAGGCGATTTTATCAATACATTGAAAACAACTTTTTTATTTAAGTGTTGATTGTTAACAAGCTTTTTTCGAATAACAAGTTTACAAGTAATCAAAAAAAATGTTATTCTTAAATTGACATCTATTCGACTTCTATGTTTATTTGTATCCATGCTGTTTAACAGCTTGAGTTTAATCCGGATTTAAATCGAAATTCGTCTTCATTGTATTGATATAATCGCCTACCACTGTTTGTAAACCACATGTATACCTCTTACGTCTTTACAACATGTGCTGAACATTTATTACCAATATAACAGGTTGGCCGGCGCAGGTTTAGTTTAAAAACGTATTGATATGAGGGCCTGCATTTCATTAGAAATTCATTTGGCGTACTGTTCCGTTTTGCCTTATTAAGTTTGCGTATGCATGTACTTCAGCTTGCTCTAGCTGCTTCAGAGTCGGCCAAGTACTTAAAAGAACCGGAGTTTATAAATGTCCCCACGCTAGACATATTTAAGTGTATTTGGTGTATTTGGCGTATACCAATATAGTATTTGTATGAGATTTTATAACCGACACACCTTTGAATATTGTACGAGGTATCCCAATAAACATGGGAATTTGAAGAGACGACTTGAAAGTCGTCTTTGATTTCTGATATTTAATGCATGGCAATGAAAGTAAACAAAACCGAGGCTTTACGTCTGACGAGCTTTTAATTAATTGGTCTGCTTTACTTGTATCTTAAAAAGTGACGAAGATAAGATATTAAGACAATTTTGATATAAAAGATAAATTGAAAGAAATGGAGTCTTTGCCACAAACTCAAATTTTCTAATCCCTATTTTTTACATCTTGATATTTCAAACTTGTATTATTTAATCTATCAGTATTCAGAGATTGAAATATCTAAGCTCTACGACACAGATATAGGGATTGGAAAATTAGAGTTTGTGACAATATCTCTGTACAGTTTGAAGATACAATAATGGTACATAGACAACATTTTAAAAATCTTAAGACCAGGCGTTTTTGATATTAGACGTCTAAACTGGAATACTCAGATACTGCAATAACTGAGTCCAGGAAAAAATCCCGCCTGGATCGAATATGATATAAAAGTCGTCAATGAATTACCATGTTTATTTGGACACCCTGTATGCTGTATTTCAAGTTTTGTGGTTGGGCCAGAACAATCAATCAATCAATCAATTAATCAATCAATCATTCAAGCATACAGATTAACAGGTCTCTTGCAGTCTGATATATCTCACACAACACTAGCCAGAATTCTTGATAATTTACGTTAAACTAATTACATTTTAGTTTTTTCTTGATATTTCACCCACAACTAGCCAGATTTCTTGATAATTTATGTGAAACTAATTTTATTTTAGTTTTTCTTAATATCTCACACAAAACTAGCCAGATTCTTGATAATTTACGTGAAACTAATTATATTTTAGTTTTTCTTGATATTTCATCCAAAACTAGCCAGATTTCTTAATAATTTACGTGAAACTAATTATATTTTAGTTTTTCTCGATATTTCACACAAAGCTAGCCAGATTTCTTGATACTTTATGTGAAACTAACTATATTTTAGTTTTTCTTGATATTTCACCCAAAACTAGCCAGATTTCTTGATAATTTACGTGAAACTAACTATATATTTTAGTTATTCTTGATATTTCACCCAAAACTAGCCAGATTTCTTGATAATTTACGTCAAACTAATTATATTTTAGTTTTTCTTGATATTTCACCCAAAACTAGCCAGATTTCTTGATTATTTACGTCAAACTAATTATAATTTAGTTATTCTTGAAATTTCACACAACACTAGCCAGATTTCTTGATACTTTACGTCAAACTAATTATATTTCAGTTTGTCTTGATATCTACACGTGAAACTTACTATATTTGAGTTTGTCCTGATATTTTATGTGAAAATAACTAGATTTTAGTTTGTCTTGATAGTTCACGTGAAACTAACAAGATTTTAGTTTTTCTTGATAGTTCACGTGAAACTAACTAGATTTTAGTTTGTCTTGATAGTTCACGTGAAACTAACAAGATTTTAGTTTGTCTTGATAGTTCACGGGAAACTAACAAGATTTTAGTTTGTCTTGATATTTAACGGGAAACTAACTATATTCTAGTTTGTCTTGACATTTCACGTGAAACTAACACGACTTTTGTTTGTCTTGATATATTACGTAAAATTAACTAAATCATATTTTGTCAAGATGCATGATCTCTCAATCAAAAGTCGAAAGCGAAAGTGGATACTACTTGTGAACAATATCTCAAATAATAAATACGTTTTAATCAATTGGGCTGCATGCTTTGTAAAGGCATTTTCACAATTTTCGCAATTACACCTTATATGGTCAAAGTCTAAAAACCGAAATTTCCTTTTTCATCTTTTCCGACTGATATTGATTTTAAGGAATTAATTTGTTCAATACTTAATGAGGGTAAGGGAAAGAAATCCCTATAAAAGGAACTGT